TACCTATACCTATGTGCAAAGTTGCCTCCTCAGGCATAGCCCTAATGACAAGAATGTGATGCTTACTGGCTCTTTAAATTCCTAGTGATGAAAAGCCAGTATTAATTTAGGCAACAGATTTCATTTGTTCTGAACAGGAAAAACAATATAAATCACTTTTGGAATGATTAGAGTGAGGCTTGAGTTAATCCAGTCCTGATTAGGGCATTATGCTGGCTTGTTATGGACACACAGGGTGACTGACGGTAATTAATTACTGTGGGTAATAGGAGACAATGCCCCAGCACAGTCAGCACTCTCGCAGGGAATTTATGTCATATACATTAGGGCGTGTGTACGTGTACTATGGTAACAGAAATCAAGCTTATCGTCTTTGTTTTGACCAGTGCCTGAAAACATGCAGAGCTAGCTGACAGTAGCGCAGGGTAATGAGTTGTTGGAGAGCAACACACACAGTAGTGAGGGTGAAAGAGTCATGGCTTTGTTTATGATTATTGATATCCTTAGACAAACATATTCAGCTGGATAATAAAAACAGATGGCACTAGGTGAGGCAAATATTAGCCTGTGGAAAATTAGAGATGTGCTCAATCAGCAAATCGAACCTCTGTGCGCGACTGCACACAGCCGTGTGCATACTACTACATGCATACAACTGAGACATACACACAGTAAAACTACACAATACAAGGACTAACATCTGTCACAAATGTAGTTTTTGGGACATTATTTCAAGTTGATGATCTTCTGTCATGAAACTGGCCCCACTGATATGAAGTTATAAATAAATCAAATCAAAGTTAAATAGTTTACACCACACAGAAAACAATGAGTAATCTGTTTGAATTTCCCAAATTCTATAAATTAAAGCTTTTACTAAGTGCCACTTTGTTGAAATTTTAAAGATGGAAGTCAATTCAGTAAAACATCCATATGCCAATGTTAACTTAATGATGGGAACCTTAAAGCAGGTGTGAAAACCAGATCTCTCTGACAGTTTAGAAGCAGACATAAGGCGCTCAATGAGATGTGACCCATTAAAGCAATGGAAAATAAGTGTAGCACAACACTGCACACTTTATTCTCCTCTTCACACTCCTTTCACTTTTTCTTTATGATGGCAATTTCTTTCACCTTCTTTGCATCAGTTTTAACCACACACCATTGGTTTTTAAGAGCCCCAAATTTGAGGCTGTAAGAGCCCAACATAATTTGAGAGGCTGAGAGCCAGTCCTAGTTGTTTTACAGCCCAAAGGGACTACGTCAAGGCTTATTTTATGAGTGCATGCCTCTCTGCTCTTTGCATGTTTATTTCAAACATTTGGAACAAATGGCCTCCTTTGGTTGGAACAACACAGATAAATCTAGTCAATTCAATGGTGGGAGAGAGCAGTGCAGGCCACTGATAGAGTGGCCCATTTGATGGCTGACAAGGAGTGCTGCATTATTCAATTAAATACCTGAAAGGGCCACAATTTATGCAGCATTTACCAAAGCAGCCCCTGTTGCACACAAACTCCCAGACAAACAGAGAGCTGTGTTTGCATCCTGGGAAAAGACTGGACTCCCCTTCCATTTTGCCAAATCAAATATACAGTGAGAGCAAGCTAAAAGGCACTTTCAATCAGGCGCGCTGGGTCTGTCTGTCAATCTGGAAACAACAACAATCTAGCCTACTTGGAGTGGTCTAGTCAACATCCATTCCCCTATAAATTCAATCAGTGAAGCTAGTGTGTGTTCAATGTGTGACAAATGGCTGTGTGTGTGTGTTTGTTTGTGGGAGAATGGCTGTGGTAAAGGGATTTTACAAAATAGTTTTAACATACAAAGAGAGTGCTGTGACGTGTGCAGTGTGTACACAGGAGATATAAATACTGTGTTTAAATTCAGTGGTAATTGTAAATGTACACAAGTTTTTCCCAATTCTTTAAAAGAAGAAAGAGAAAAAATATTCCTCTAAAGAATTGTGCAAACAGAAAGTCTATTTGTAATAGGGCTTAGTGTGAAAACCGCATGTGTTAAAAGAAAGAATAATTCAAACCACACAGTCACCATCCAAGAAAATATCTCAGGTTGACATCTCATATTGGAAGGCCAAGTAGCAAAGTTAACTGGCCTGAGCTAATGATTCTGATATGCAGAGCTGCACGCTGGAGTGATTGTGTGACTGTTTAAGACCCAAATGCAGCGCTAGCAGCCTCATCATAGACCTGCTCTTTCATTATTGGACCACAAATGGAAATGCAAATAGCTCGCTTTGCTGCGGACGCCTCAAATTTATTAAACTAAAAGGTTTAATTTCCATTTTTCTCCGCATCAGCTTTATTTATAAATGTCGTGCCCTATGAAGACCCAGTTATTTTCTCTCTCTCCTGCAAACCTCTTAACAAATCTGCTCATTAATATGGTAATGGAGAATCAATCGCTTTTCCGGTGACGGAGGGCTGTTTCCCTCTCAGTGTGTAATGTAATCTGACTGGTCATCAGCACAAACAAATTCACACACAGTATAGACTGTATATTTTGGTACACAGCAGCAGAAGTTATAAGTTATTGCAATAAGTTTTAAAGTCAACAAACACTGGGCTTGCAGGTTTAGCCATTCTGTTGGGAGAGCTATGAGCCTAGTGCCAGAATACCAGATGTTGCGGCATTAATGATCCATAATACCAAGTGCTGCTTGCCCAACCTTTCAGGGTCCTAAAATAACACTCATATCCCTTAATGAGATCCAATTATGCGCAAGGTTCTTATTCAGGGCAATATGAAGATAATTACTGTGGTGGCTTTTAACACTGAGTTGTCATGTTGGTGGTGAGGAGCCACTGTCTCTTTCTTTCTACCTTATAGCTATTTAGACTGAACGGTGTGAAGTGAACTATCACACTTATCCCCTGTGGTTGGTGACCTAATCAACATTTCTAAATGACCATGACCAATGGCTTGAAGACTAATGTTGCAGCTATTATCTAAAGTAGTTGTTTCCACACAAAGTCATCCGTTGAGGACACCATTTTAAAAGCAAGTAAACATGGTTCTTAAGCTAAGTACATTCTCAAGCTTGTTACTAACCAGGTGGATTTAATTCTGTTTTAAAACTTCAGGCTTACAAGATCCAAGAGTAAAGAAAGGAAGCACAATATAATTCCACATTCTGTAAGATTTTACCTAATAGCATTTGTTCTTCAATTGAAAGTTAATCTGGGTAAATGGTGCTTAAATGTTTAAATCACATTTACAGGCTGTCAGCTGTTCTGATGCTCTTCACATGGCCACCCTTCGTTTGAATTAAAATAAATGAGTGCAAAATGAGAAAGGACTAAGAGACAGAAACCATTCAGGACCTCCTGAATCATAGCTCCACCAAGTGGACATATTGCGTAATGGACTAAAAAGGTAGGCCTATAGGTTTGATCATGTTCAATCCTGAAGACCCCGACAATCCAGGAACTGCAGTTTCTATGTTGTTTGAGTTTTTCCTGACATATTATGTTTATATTTTGAAGAAACAAGGCCCAGTTGAAAGTGATTGATTAACCAGACTATATTGAAATAGGTTTAAGACAGTAGACAGTGTAATACGGCACTGTTGTTCCCTGACATCATAATTTCTTTGTATTATAGACTTAATGATTAGGAGAAGATCACATAATGTCGCCTACCTGTGCTCGCGCGTCATGCTGTCCGCGGTGCTGAAACTGACGCACCGTGCGTCAGGATCACGCATCCTCTGCCATCTTTGTACTGCTCCTGGCTAAGCTAGGCGACAGGGCTCTCCATCAGCTGGAAGGGACTGCAGACTGAAAAGAAAGGCAGTCGAGTCAAGCCATTTTGAGAGTAGGAGAGCCCATTTACGCATACAACCGACATTTAGAGCTG